TGTTAATTTTTTATTCCTTTATCTCGGATACCACAAATGTCCGCTGCTACGACAAAGATGCCCGAGGATTGTGTTACACTCGAGTTTGAAAAAAAAAAATCAGAAGGAAGGAAATAGAGACAAGATTAACAAAGTTTCGCGCATAAAGTTTTTACGAAGACGAGATCGAAATTCATTTGTCAACTTGCAAATTACAACATGGGTCTTTTATGCGCCGTACACATTTCGGCCGGATGTCGGGTCACAGGGGGATGGGTGTTTATCCTCAGAGGGTGGAAAGGAGACTTCGACCCGCCCTTTCGAAATGTCAAAGGTTACCGCGCAAGTCACATCGCCGTATTCCTGGAAGCAATCCCGTGCGAATCCAACGGCGTTGTTTTTCCTCGCTCGCGGACGATAATTCTCTATCATCGGCGAGAAACCAAAACAAATTGGAAGAACCTTATATCTATTTAGAAAATGTTGAAACACAAACTGTCAAGATCGATCGTATGCTCTAAGAATTGATTTGCTGGGAGTGGGGGGAGGGAGGGAAAGGATGCGTTTATATTCACGCATATTTATCAATGAAATGGATAAACGACAAGGCGAACATTTCTGTCTACGTGAAGCAGAAATGCATAACCCATGAAAGAATTTCCATTCAAAAATCAAGTTTACAATAAAGTTAAGTCAAACGTAATGTATGATCGTAAATCCGTATATATGTATGATATACATATATAGTCGATACTAACAAACGCATCGGAGAGACCGAAAATATTTGAATCTTGCACAAAAATTGCATAATACATTACTAGGAGTCGTGCAAATATACATAAGTCAAAAGAGCGAGGATTTTTTTACTTTGTCCGGAAAAAGAAACTTCTTTCCATGTTGTCGGAGTTAATAATAATAATCTTAATCCGTCCCGTTATCGATGCGTTCGGAAACCTTTTGATATTTCCGCGCGCAATTATTGCATTAATACGTAGCCCGGAATACATACCCGATCACATATATACAACTACACTTTTTCTTCATGTCTCGTGAAAGGTGAAACGTTAAACCAGCAAGCGTTATCGGCGCGCTATTCTATCGAATTCCGAAATTCCTATCCCGCTGTGGTCGACGAAAAGGAGAAACCGATATTCGCAACATCTTCAAAAGAGACGTAATACGATTAAAGATGCCGTTCGAAAATTAAAGACGCGGCTTCTTTGTCGTCGATTCGCGAACAATCTTATTTTCTCTCGTTAATTGCTTGAAACATTTAATTCTTTATTTAATTCTAAAAGCAAAACAGTGTGTGCCTCTTGGCGCGCGGCGCCGGATATTTCGACTAGGATTAAATATTATTTATTCCCAATTATCCTCTTTGATCTTTTACAGAATATAAAGTCTTCTTTTATTATATTATATTATATTCGAATATTATATACAAGATGTAAAAAAAAATTTTTTTAGCGAAAATATTCAGATATTTTTTGCAAGTTCCCAATTTTTTGTCTAATATATATATATGTATATCTTTGTAACTAAGCTTTAAATTAATTTTTTTTTATGAAAGTTCAGGTGAAAGTAAATTTCATCTGAATTTAATAGAAAATAAAGTTTTGTTAATCTTATGATTCTATAAAGTTTGTGCAAAAAATTTCCTTTCTTTCTTTCTTTCTCAATTATTAATAATTCAAAAATGATGGATGCTTGACATTTTCGTTAAAGAAAAATCGTCTCCAGAAACATAATTACATATACATTACGTTATACGTTCCATGTCTGTCTCAAGTTGGATCTAATTCGAGTGAATAATATAATAAGTCGTATTGTTATTGTTATTATGTAACGTTATCCAGGTAAAAATATGTTTTCGAAGAAGGAAATTTTCGCGAGCAAGTTTCCAAGAAAATACTCGATCCGAGAGGAATGGGTCACAAGAGAGAAATATCTTTGGCGAGAGTTGCGATATGCAGGCGACGGACTTGACTGTTTGCTACAAAGCTTCCGGCTGACCCAGGGCCCAGACATCAGACATCAGACATCAGACATAGACATAGACATAGACATAGACATAGACATAGACATAGACATAGACAGACATAGACATAGCGGCGCGTCGATAAAGCGCAGATTCAACGACGTTCCTCCGTTATCACGCGATGCACTCGTTTGTAAGCGCGTCGTCTCTTCGCGCTTAAGTGCACTCTGCCATTAATCTCATCTCGCCGGAAAATCTAAACCTAAACCTAAACGAACCCGCGTTCTCTTCGACGTTTTCTTACAATTAGATCCGCTCCGGCTGAGTGAAACGTATTGACACATTGTTTTTAGAATTTTGTGACGGAAAAGTTATGTACAATTGTATCAACTATCACTCGAATATAATAGTGTACGGCAAATCTCCAAGTTAGATACTGTATCCTTGTGATAAAATTGTTATATGTATATTTTAAACAAATTCTCTTCTAATTCTAGGATATTGGAGATTAAAGCTTGCTCATTTAGATGCTCTATAATTTGCGACAAAATTTGTAAAAAAATTTTATTTATTATTTTATGTATCGAGTAATATAGAAAATGAAAATTTTGAAAACGACAAATATATTAAATAAAGCAGGCTTAACTTTATTTAATGTTTATTTATCGGCATATTATTATTGTATCTGGACTTTTCAGAAAAATTCGTTATTCATTCTTCTGTTTTCTTTATAAATTATTGCAAATATCATCAATCGATTATCGCAAAAATTGTGGCGTTCACTTCAGACAACGACAGTTTCCTATAGTTCTTAGTGTCTTAAAATTTTTCGAAATTCCTTTGAGAAAACGACTTTAAAGGAATATCTAACGACATATGATCCGATAACGCGATAAACGAAACAGGACATGACATCGTTCGCTCGTACCAAGCGATTATCCGATTTGTGGCGTTTGACATTTTTTCGAAAGTTCGGCGCGTACGAAAAATCAAAGGACTGTCAATCGCGAACCGTACCAGAGACGTGCTCTTCTTCGACGATGGGCGAGAATGATGATCTTTGTCCGCCATGTCCTTCACCCAGATCGGATCCGCCATTTCCTTGTCCCAAGCCACCAATGTGTGACCAGGACAGAGCCGGTAATTTTTTGTTGCGAATTTGTTCACATACTCGAAATATTTCCAACTTTTCTGCATATTTCAAACTTTTGCGATAAATTTGTATATTCTTGAAATCGTGAATCTGGCGGTACGCCGCGCCGCGCAGCGCCGAGATTAGAATTGCAAACGATCGTTTAATATCGAAATGGAAAATAAACACGAAAAAGCATAAGAAGGGGCAGAGTTACAGGTATAGAGAAAGAAAGGAGAAAATCTTGTTAGATTTATCGCAGATTACTATAAATCATTCATCGATCTTGGTCAAAATATTATTTTATCCTAAAATATTCGATTCGCGAATGTGTAGTTTAGAAATACGAATTTATTTATTTTCTTTTTTTTCTTTTTTTTTTTCTTTTAACAGCCATTTCCTTGGGGCGATGGCAATCACTCGCTTTTCCATAATCCTGTGAAAAATCCAGTGCCACCGTATGGTTATGAAGTCGAGGATCCGAACGAAACGCCCTATAAGAAAGTGGGCAATTAGCCGAAGTGATCCTGCATGATTCTGCCGAATTTTTAATCAACCTTAATCATCCACAAGAGAAAGAAATGGAATGATTATATGTAAAATATTAAATATGCATATACATATAAGCGAGTCTCTCGAGTCGTAGTTGATGCGATTTTCAACATGTAATTTGAGATTGCTCGAAATTATTATAAAAAATATTATTCGTTGCTCGAAGCTCGGCTACATAAAAGTTTTAAAATAAAAAAATTCTTGTGTGGAAACATCATTTTATTTGTGTGAATATTATTGCTTTTTTTGTTACATTCGTAAATCATTTATTTTTCTGGATATTTTATAGATTATTATTTTCTATAAACGAATAAATATCATTGGGCAACGACGGTTTCTCGATTTTTGGTTTCGAAAAATATACATATATATATATATATATATATAAAATATCTCCGGAGATATTTCGGAGCAAGAGCGGCGAAAAGACGAGCAGACGTTTTCCCGAAAGGGTAAGGTGGAGATCGCGCGCACCGTTTTCGATCTCGTCTTCTCTCGCGCGCGGTGGAGGGGGAGGGAGAGGTTATTAGCTAGCTGGAGGGAGAAGATGGCGAGTGGGACGCAGCTGGTCTCGCGCCTTCTTGGTTGTTCGAGAACGATCAATAGACTGGGAGAGGTAGCGGAGGAGGCGACCACGACCGCGACGGTGGACGGTGAACGATGGTTGTGTCCGGGCAGTGGCGAGTTAAACCACCCCAGGGCGTCACATTTCTATTATCTAACAACTAATCTCCGGTATCGCATCTCTATCATCTTGGAACGCGATCCCATCCCCCTCCCCCATGTATGGCGATCTCGCGTATTTATATCCCCGATACACGGCGCATGGCGCATGGCGCATGGCGCATGGCGCATGGCGCATGGCGCACGGCGCAGAGGTCTGAACGGAAATATCACGCGCACTATCGCGCTCAAAAGTTCAAATCTCCTCACGATTCACCCTTCAGCATTTTGAGGTACATTTTGCGCGTAGGAAATCCGTATATGCATTGACGTATACGATCGTGTTTTTCTACCTACTTACTTTTTATCGTAAATCGTACAGTTATTCCTTTTAATGCAATTGTGCCATCGTCATCGTAGAGAATTGTTGAGGATTCTTTGGAAAAGGAGAAAATTGGTTCTGGGCTTTTTATATGAGATTTATATGTAAATTTGTATATTTCTTTTACTAAGGATACAAAAAACTTGCGTATATGTATATTTGTATTTAAATTTTATCCAAAATCATACAATTACACGACATTTTAAATCTTAATGTGATTAACAAAATTGAAGAATTTTTCCCTTTTCTTAACTATATATGCCAATAAAATATGGAAATTTCTATCACGTATGTAAGTTAGGTGTCGTACAACGCGCTCGTAGCTCGTGTGAAATGACACACGTTCGTTGATCGGCGCCGTGTAATTTACGGCCCTGTCCGCGTGAGCTCGTCGCGGGGGCGAGGATACTACGAGCTCCTCGGATTGGCCGGCGGCAATTTCGCGGGTTCGAGGGTCGACGAGTCGCGCGATGTGATCGCGCCGCCAATCGAGCAAGCTCCACCGTCTCTTCACCGTCACCCTCACCCATCAGGTCAGTTTGTGGCAGCGCGTCGCCGTACCTGTATACTCGTCGTCGCTGTCGCTGTGTTCGTATTTAGGTGCTTGCCTATCTCGAAATGTCATTTCTCACCCCGTCGTCGTGCCGCTAATACTCTTTAATCGCGCTCTTGTCGTCTCCATTGTCACATCGCTCCTATCATTCGATCTTGTTTCCGTCTACTTTCTCCTACATATTCCATAATTTATAAATTAGATTTATATAAATCTCTTTTTCGAGAAAGTGACACACGGCGTGTTTCTTTACATTATCGAGTCGAGATAAATTTACGATGTGAAAATAGAAGAAGCTGAAGGATTCTATTGAGTATGTATATTTTTTTTTTGTTACATTGTTATTGAGAGAGAGATTTTTCTCAGTTTTGAGAAAAAGAATTGTAATAAATATCGTAAGACGATATCGCGCATTTATTTCTATTGTCCATTTATTGCGGATATGGAAGCAAATTTTCTTTGACTAAAGAAGCAGAGAATTTGAGATTCGATGAAAACTATATTATTGTACCGTGTCATCGATTCTGGAGATGTTTAAGGAGAGATTATTTACAGAGATTTTGCCCTGCGAGAAAAGCAACGAACGAAGCAAACTTGAAGGTATCGATTGAAGGATTAATTATTGGTTCAGTGAGAGTGATCGACAGTTTTCGCGAGTGAAATACGCATATTTTCGCGCAAATTCTCAGATGCAAATATGTATCGCGTATAATCGGGGTACGAAAAAAGGATTCATCGAGAGACTTGAAAATATTTCTTTCGGAAACTACGCCGCATGTTGAATGGTATGTTCGATATTTTCGTACTGTTTGATCATTCGTACTGTTTCTGACTGTACATGAATAAGAATGTATGTGTGTGTGTGTGTGTGCACAACATTTATAACGCGACGATTAAAATTGCGAAATAAGTCGCTGTCCGGAATAAGAGCGATCTCGTAGAATTTCACGCAGATTTTACAATCGTCAGTCGTTAATTTTCTCGCGTGGCATGACGTAAAGTTTAGATTCGCTCGAGACTGATGCGCGTATAAATAAACATCCCGCTCGTAACGTTCTTGTTTCTATCTGGACGCCTTGCGCGGAAGCGGATAATGTCGATAATTATTACGGAATGATATTTTTACATATAACAGTCTCTCGCGGTAGAAATACGAAAATGTTAAAAATATTGCAATTTTGTTAAATCTGTATGATTGTAGATAATATAGATGTCGGTTTCCTCTTTTTTACGCATAATAATAATATTACTTTTTATCGTTCGACGCTATACATACATCGTATCATTCGTTATTGTTTCGTTTGTAGCTAGAGACATATCTCGATAAACGGATATTGTTTATCGATTGCAATTGCTTGTCAGAGAATCTTTTATTCTTCAATCATGATTTATTTTTCGAGCTATTAATGACTACTTTTAACTATGACATAAACACCGGAATATTTCCGGCCATGGCAAGCATCGAGAAGGATGCGATATAGCAGTTCGCGCGAAAGAACATAAGCATAGTTTATGATACAATCGACACGGTTTGTATGCCACGACGAATATTCCGTAACCAAATACACGGCAATTCCTGTCAAAGAATCTAATGTATTGATAAAAAAACTTGTAGTGACAATTTGAATAATAATAAAAAAATTCTCTTTACTATGTTTCTTTTTTTTTAATTTTCAGTATTAAACATTTCTATCATATTATTGACTTATAAAATTTTCTATTACTTGAAAGAACACACACACACACACACACATACACATACATTGTGTATTGTTAACAAAATGTTAAATATAAATTCGAAAACATAATATAAATCGATTGAAGATATTCAATCGAGAAAAGATGAAAAAACGATTGTTTCAATAATATTATAATTTCACTTTTTAACTTATTGCATTAGATGGTACATTTTTAGATGAAAATATAAGAGAAAAAATTATTTTTTCTATGCTTATAACAGATTTTATTTTCTTTATTTAGCCAATTTTTCTTCACTTTTTTCCGAATGTTGTCGCTATTGTTAAGATTTTACCAAGATATTGTTCATTCGGAAAAGAGCGACAAGTCAGACTATCATCTTAAATTGCTATATTGAAAAGATATTTTCTTTCTATTATTACAGAAAATTTCACCTGTTGACATAAAATGGAGACATCACTTGCGATTCCCGTCGAGAAAAATCTCCCGAGATGTCGCGAGGACGTCGAACGCGATTTCGGCGTCTGGTATCCTTGAAGGGAAGATGCACTTTGCGAAGATGCACGGGTGATACAGGACAGACTCCGATAAAATGTTGATCAAGGAGTATCGCATACCGCTACCTCTTACGGTAGAGGAATATCGAATCGCTCAGCTGTACATGATAGCGGTAATTATCAGGATTAATATTAATTTTGCGTTGACTCGTGTTTTCAAACAAAATTCACAATTTAATCAATTTATGGGGTCCACTTATATTTACATTTTTTATAAATCTAGCAAAATCATTCGGATAATGATTTGATAAACGCATGAACCACAAATAATCGCTACAGGGACTCTCTTTTCATATAAAGTTGTAAATCTTTCTTTTTTTTTTTTAATTCTCTTCAATTTATAATTTTTTGCAAAAATCTTTTTCTATGCGAAACGCGATTGATTTTGTCATTTATGATAAGAAGAAAGAAACATTGAACAGAATTAGACATCAAATATATCGATAGATTGTTGCGTAATGCGCGTTTTTTTCTTTAACTTTTCTCTCATACATCATCTTTTCAATAACGTAAACATTATTTTCGTTCTGCAAGTATATTCTGTACGTTTCTACTATTCTACTTTTTTCTCCATACGCGTTTTCTTAACGTGCAGGGAAGGGTTATTTTTTCTCGTCGATAAAGATAAGGATAAAGATTTTTATTCGTGGCCGAGAAGATGAGCGGATGTATTTCCTTGAGTAATCGATGTAACCGTTTGCCGTATGATATAATTCACGCAGAAAAAATCGCGGGAGGAGAGCAAAGGTGCCGGCAGCGGTGTGGAGATAATCGAGAACGAGCCGTACAGCAACGGTCCAGGCGGTGACGGCCAATACACGCACAAGATCTATCACGTGGGCAGTCACTTGCCGGGCTGGTTCAAGAGCCTGCTACCCAAGTCGGCGCTCATCGCCAAGGAAGAAGCATGGAATGCCTATCCATATACAAAGACTCGTTACACGTGTCCGTTCGTGGAAAAGTTCTCCGTCGAGATAGAGACCTACTACTTCCCGGACAATGGCCATCAGGAGAATGTCTTCAATCTTAGCGGCAGTGATTACAGAAACAGGATCGTAGGTAAAGAGGAGAGGAGATTAGATTAGATCGATCAACATCGTCAATTAAGTTTTACATCTAAAAGCTGAGCCTAAAAAAGAGCGTTATGATATTTTTCAATGATCAAAAATTGTGTTTATTGTCAAATTCTTGGACGATTATCAGATAAATTATTATTTGTTTTTCTTATTTATCGGTATGATATTTATTGTTTGTGTTTCTTATTATCAGTAGAATACTAGAATACTAGGATACTAGAATTTTAGTGTCAATGGTTTTCCGATCATTATAGACAAATATTTAACGTCATCTCTAACAAAGTTATATATGTGACGATTATCAAATTTATCATTCTTATCCCGATTGAATCCGCCGTTTATCCGTTCTGATAAGATGTGATCGACATCGTCAAGGATCAGCCTTATGGGGCCGATTACGTGAAGGAAGAGGATCCCAAGTTGTACGTGTCGGAAAAGACAGGAAGAGGCCCTCTTGAGGATACGTGGCTGGACGATTATTGGGCCGATGTGGAAGTATAAATCTTCCCTTTCTCTCTTTTATCTCTTTTTCTCTTTTTCTTTTATCTTTTTCTAAAAGTTTACACCTTTCTCCGCTTAAGTAGTCTCACCGTTGATACATTAGCGATTTTCTTGCCGTTTAGGGAAAGCAACAGCCAACGCCATCGGGCAAGTCACTAATGTGCGCGTACAAGCTATGCCGAGTAGAGTTCCGTTATTGGGGCATGCAAACGAAATTAGAAAAGTTCATACACGACGTAGGTTAGTACCGTAATATGCTCACCTCTCTGCTCTTTCTCGCCCTTTGGATGCCGGACAATATAAAATTTAATTACATTTTAACACAATTAATCTCTCATAAAAGAGAGATCATCTTTTTGTCAAGTCTCTCTCTTTTTTTCTGTCACTCTCTCTCTCTCTCTCTCTCTCCTCTCCTACAGTTTAGAAAGGATTATTTCCCCCTAAAAAATAAAATTGCTTTAAAGATATTGCATGTTCTCTTCTCTTTCTAATAAAAGAATTGAGAGAACTTTAGCTTTGCCAAAATAAGTACGTATTTTTCTTTGTAGTATTAAGGATTAAGTACAGTCTCGTGCAATGTATACAATGTGTTTCAGAAATTGTGCATTTTGTGTTTCGATAAATTATAGATACATTAATTAAGAAGAATTTTATTTTGTACTAAGGCAGCGATATAGTTATAAAAATATTATTTTTTAGTTAATTTTGAGGATTATATTAGAATCTTGATTTCAGTTTTATATAATTATAGAATAGAATATTTAAAATTACAAAGTGAAAAATTATTTAAGTAATAATGTTATGTCATAATTTGCTAAAAAAATGCACGATTTTTGATACATTCTATATATTGTAATTTACGTATTGATTTATTTTTTCCCCTTTTTTATGAATAATGATGCATTAAGTTTGGCAAATTTAACTCAATCTAAATTCTGTCACGCAAAGAGTCCGGCAACTAAAGGATTAAATCTTTCGATCATGACTCTGTTAAAGAATCTTTTTAAATGTAGAGTACTTTAAACTAAAAATCAAATAACATATAATTTAAACACTCATTGAAAGAGTAATTCAATGTTATTAGAGCTACAATCCTACTCTTGATTTTCGGCATTTCTAATTTTTTTTAAATCGTGACGTCATCAGGACGCTTTAATTTGTTAGATAATTTAGATTTATCGATGTAGACTGCCAGTTTGTTGCTCTAAACACATTTGAAAAATAAAGATTAAGAAAATTTGTTGCAATAATTTGACGATTTACTTTCGAATTAGCATAATTCAAGACGAGTTATTTATTTATTGATTCGCTATTACTCTCGGTTTTACGCGCACCGAACGTTGCCGTTGGAAACTTTTCCCCGCAACACAGGAGGTCGTGATCGAAAGGGTTAATTTTAACCGGCGCATTCGTGCGTCCGTGCGTGAGACGTATTAAGGTCGGTTCCAGCTCTGCGGAAGACGATGGTGCGGGCGCACAGACAGGCCTGGGCCTGGCAGGACGAGTGGAACGGTTTGACGATGGAGGATATCAGGGAGATCGAACGGCAGACGCAGTTGGCGTTGCAGCGCAAGATGGGGCTCGGCGAATCTACGGACGATGAGCTCGAGGAGAACGAGAATCGGGAGACGAGGATGGCAATGGCGACAATGACGATGACGACAACAACGACGACATCGGCAACTCCTGTGACGGCAAACGCCTCGATGACGTCGCCGGATTCAGATGTCGCCAAGACATTGGCGGCTACCCTGGGCAGCATTGAAAAGGAAGAGGCACAGAGTCCGCTGTCCATCAGGAAACCGTCTGATATTCCCATCATTAACACGGCGGCCAGCTCCGAAAACGAAATCAGTCCCGAAGACTCGCCGTCGCCGGTCGATCTCAACGAGATCAAGTAAGATTTGTTTAGTCTCGCGTATTTGTTTTATAAAATTATAGCTGTTTCCGCGATCGTTTCAGCATCTTATTTCTAAAATAGTTAATTTAACAGTTAATCATTTAGATTTTAGACAGTTGTTTTAGATTATTTCAAACAGTGATAAATTTAATAGCGTGTATGTATATATATATATAGTCTCTAGTAAATGGCAATTAGCAAGGAGATAAATTTATATGAAAAAAAATAAGCAAGTTTGAATACAACTTTTCTTTGATTGTTAAATGATTGAGTTTTTGAGAAAAATAATTTTGATGCAAATCTATTTGATTATGTCTTTTGTTGTGATTTTAAAACTTTTGTATTTATATGATACTGATTATTTTATATATATCAAGCACTTGTAATCGCCGTTTTTTCATTGCTCTCTTGAAATGATAAGATATAATCGCCAGAATCCACCAATATACTTCTATTATTAGTAGTTTAAGATAATCAGCTCAACTGCAGCAACTAACAATAAATATGAGTGTATTTTGAATGATAACACAGTAACATAGACGATTATTATTTGTCATTAATACACACGCGCGGATGTTACGTGTGGTACTGGAGTTTTTATATTATTAAAATGACAAATTAAGCCGAAATTAATTAAGAGCGAGCTACGTTGCAGAACCGTGAGCAGCAACGCGAAGAAGGAGTGGAGAAAGAACAACGTGCACTTGCATTCACCAAACTCCAATAAGAACTTTGACATTCAGATCGCGAACTGGAGGATGGAGAGCATCGTCAGGGAATCTGAATCTGGTAGCGACGACGAGTTCTTCGACTGTCAAGGTAAAATTATTATTCCACGCGCGCATGCGTGTAGCATGCTGTGATAATCTAGAGAGAGAAGCATTTGACACACGATTCATCATAAATGAATGATAGCTAGATAATAATTTTGCGGCACACTGCTTTCCACGTAAACTGTAACGAGTCTTAATACATTGATACAAATTCTAAAACGATACGAAAAAGAGAGAGATGTTATAATAACAGGAATCGCGATATATCAACAATGCAAAATTATTTAACATGGAAAATAAATAATAATCTTGAGAAAATTCTTATAAAGAGAAATATCGATTGTAAATTCATCAAATAATTCATCATTTGAAAACATTTCTTTTATAAATATGATTTATTCCGTATAATAAAAATTTTTTGATAATTCATGTTTGTGGACGATATTAATGTGATATTAATAAATCTTATGTGTATGATGTAATGCTTGTTAATAATTCATATGAAAGAAGTGTGTTTTGCGAGATAAGAAACACAGATAACTAAAGCTAGACAGAACAGCATGTGCTGCGTTTTTATGTGTTATCCTCTTTGTTTTTTATGTCGCTTCCCATACCGCAGCTGGGTTCATTATACCTGTTATACGCAAAGGTAGGACACGTAGAGTGATTAAGTAATAAACGCGAGATAAATTGAAAGGGACGTCACTCCATATATTAAGGATATATCTGCAGAATGAATGATCTTAAAATACAAGAAACGTAGACAATGTGACAAATCGGGTTGTTTGGCGCACATATGAAATTTGTATCCTTCGATTAACAATTAGAATCGAGCATGTAGTTAGAATTCGCGAGAGATTCGCGCATATGGCATGTCGCAGCATGACTTTGCTCGTAGTAAAAAAATTAATCTAGCGGCCAGAAACAAATCGATTCGTTTTGCATACATTAGATAGAATTTCACATACTGCATCAAATAGAATAACATATGACTTCTATATAATCTAGAATTCGAATAATTTGATCGCAATTAAAGTTTGATCTGTATCGTAAATTTACTTTATTGGATAATTTATATTATCGTGTTATAAAATTATTTTTTAAAATATAGACATCATGCTCTTTAAAATATTGCATTGAGTAGATTGTGTTGAATATTATTAATTCATATTTTATTATGAAAGTCTTGTTTCGCGATTAATCGGAGAGACGCATTGCATAAGCAGCGTTAACGTTTCTGATTATACAGAGGACTTTGAAGATAGCTCTTCATTAGCTAAATGGAGTTCTTTGGATCTTCTAGCAGAAGGGGACGACACAACCGTACGGACATCGCCTGCGGCAAGCGAGCAAGGTTAGTATATTAAAACAAAATGTAGCATTTGTAATAATTCTGATTATTATTATTGAATTTTTTTTGAAGATAGTGGTGGAATATTGCGCGAAAGATTTTTTTTTCAGCTGTCCTTATTCGTTCTTATATATGGTGTTTAATGTACACGGCGATTGGGGTATCGCCTTGTTTTATCTTTCTTTTATATTTTGCAGAAGACACAATATTTTCGCCTTCGTATCTGCAGCGCGTCGCCAGCGAGAGAAATAGTAAGAGACTGCAGATTCGCACGTCGGCCAGTATTGACGTGTCATGTCCAACATCCCCTCAGCATTCTCCTACGCATCAACCGTGCAAAATTACCGTTTTAATTATCGTAATGCATGGTGGCAGTGTTTTAGGTAAATAATGTACTTTTCTTATTTTATATATAGTAGAAAGATGGACATTTATTTTATATTTAGATTTGGTTATATATTTAGATTTAATTGAAAATGTAAATATAATTTGTATAATTCAAGCAAATTATTAATTCTTTTTTAATTTATGAATGTTGATATATATTTGCAAATTCCTAATTTTTTATGTACTTTTTATTATACATATAAATGATACTGATGGCATAGAATTAATATGTATACATGTATGCACATATGTTGAACATGTATAAAATCATGCTTCTGTACTCCAGACGCGAATGTCGATCTAACCGCGAAAAAGTCAGACATAACAACATTTCGCGGAGCTTTCGAATCCGTGATGAGGCAGCATTATCCCAGCATGGTCGGACATGTATCCGTTAAATTTGTCGCCTGTCCTTCCATTTGTACCGAGGGTCTTGGAATTTTATCAAGGTAATACATCGAACGGCATTCAAATGCCGTTTCTATTAGAACCAATTTACCATAGTTATAATAATGTAACTATGATAATTTTGTTGTACAGTCTGAGTCCATACAGCTTCGACGTATCGCCTTCGTGTATGGATGCGCCGCAAGTTACACACGACACCATCCCGATCGGCGCGATTCCTTTGCTGGCGAGCTCGAGTTCCGACTATCAGGACGCGGTGTCGCGCGTAGTGATGGCTGCCAATCAAGTGTATCACGATTTCATCAAGAGCGAGGAGGGTAGAGGCTTCACCGGACAGATCTGCTTCGTGGGCGACTCGGTAGGCTCTATCCTGACCTATGACGCTCTGAGTAGAGCGACGCAACACTCGAGGCACAGTAGCGAGAACAGTATCCTGGAGGGTGGTAGCGGCCAGCAGGGTAACGACAACGGCGGTAATACCGAAGATGCCAAGCATCTATCCGCGCCATCCCCTAGAAGAAGGTCTTCCGGCACGGGGTGAGCGACTATAATTATGTCGACGACGAAATTCTTCTTTGATATACTTCTTTGAATAACGCTTAAAAAAACCAAACAAGACGGAAATTGATAATATCTCGCGATTTGACGTCAAAATATTCGAAACCTTTGATATAATGACGCGAACGTAGAATTAGCATATACGATCATGAAAGTGTTAATTAGTTTTTATTAAGACGCTTATTTACAGCGACAACCCGCACCATAACAAACTGGACTTCGAGGTAGGTGACTTCTTTACGTTTGGCAGTCCGCTCGCGCTGGTCCTTGCCTACAGGAAGACCGCGTCCGCTGACAGAAACAGCTTCATACCCAGGCCGTTGGTCAATCAGGTGTACAATCTATTCCATCCCACGGATCCCGTGGCCGCGAGATTGGAACCTTTAATCTCGGCGAGGTTTTCGCTGATTCCGCCAGTCAATATCGCCCGATATCAAAAATATCCGCTTGGCAACGGTCAGCCTTATCACTTGCGTAAGTGGATATTATAGGATTACAAATTAAATAGTAGAAAACGAAATGCAAATCTTTTGTGAATTTGATTTCAGTGGAGACTATCCAGACAAATCCGCAGCTGTTTGCTGACGGTCTCAACATTCCTAATATTCAAATGCATTTAAGAAGATTATCCGATATATCGCTTCAAAGTACAATGTCGGGCATTATCGAGAATGTTCCTTTACAAGCGGTGTCTGCCCGTAAGTGAAGAATTGTTTGTTGTATTACTATATTTATTTGCAACATCTATCGTCGATAATTTTTTTTTTTTCATGCATGTTGATATTATCTAAAATGCTTATTATCTTCCTCGTTCCAGTGACACAAAAGTGGTGGGGCACCAAGAGACTAGATTACGCGCTCTATTGTCCAGAGGGTCTCGCTAATTTTCCTACAAATGCCTTGCCGCATCTCTTCCACGCCAGTTATTGGGAATCTTCGGATGTAATCGCGTTTATTCTGAGGCAATTGGGCAGATTCGATTTGTCACTGCTCGGTAACGAGGAAAAGGATCTCACTAGCTTCCGTCCAGGTCAACCCAGAGAGAAATGGAATAAAAAGCGTACCTCTGTTAAACTAAAGGTTCATTTTATGATCGCAATTTAAATTTTGTTTAGAATTTTGCGTTATATATATTTGTTATTTTAAATTGGTCCTTTGCTGCATCGCTTATAGCTATGCATTGATACATTTCAGAATGTTGCTGCCAATCACAGAGCGAATGATGTCATTGTAAGGGAAGGTGCACCACAAGTATTAGTCGCTAGGTTCATGTACAGTCCTATTGATATGATAACTTTAACAGGTATATAAACAAAATTAAAAAAAAAAAAATAATTTCTTTTATATAATATTAATTTTTGCATTTGAGCGCATGCGTGTATGGTCCAGTTTATCGATATATATAATTTAATCTGTATAGTAAAATTTAACCAACTAAGATTTTTAATTTATTTATTTATCAGGCTTGCCAATGATTTATATATATGTTTTGATAATAGTTTTAGCAACTAATTTTTACATTTCAATCGCTAAAAATACAATGCTACAAATAAGACGAAAATTAAATATTCCACATTTTGTTATAGGTGAAAAAGTGGATATTCACATTATGAAAGACGCGCCGGCAGGTGAATGGACATACCTTTCTACCGAGGTAACTGACAAAAATGGTAGGATAATTTACAAAATACCAGATGACAAAATGCTAGGTTACGGGCTCTATCCAGTAAAGATGGTTGTAAGGTAATGTATTTTCTTTTTGAAATTATAAATAGATATTAATCTAAATCATTAATCAAGGAGAAAAATTAACATATATAATAACGCAACAGATTAAAGTTTTTATAAATAATTGAAATTAATTAGAATTAATAAATAAAATTGAGGAAGATTGAAATTAATATTCGATTATGAATGAGAGTTTAAAGTATGGATGAAAGTGTGAAATGTGAAGATCAGTGAATGTGATGTAAAATATTTCTTTATATGATAAGAAATATAAATTCTTCTAATCTCTCTGAACTAATATGCGTTTACAGGGGAGATCACACATCTGTAGATTTTTTCATTGCTGTAATACCGCCGAGAACCGAATGCATAGTTTTCAGCATAGACGGCTCTTTCGCCGCCAGCAGGTCAGTGAGCGGCAAAGATCCGAAAGTCTGGGCCGGTGCCGTCGATGTTGTGAGGTAACATATCACAAAGACGATTCTTTGTTAAATTTACAATCTTCTCTCTTGAGGAAAAAAATAAAAAAATAGGCGAACAAGCATTGTTTAAACAAAGTTCTTTTCTATTAATATTTGCGATAGACATTGGCAGGAACTAGGTTACCTCATCATTTACATTACTGCGAGACCTGACATGCAACAGCAGACAGTGGTTTCCTGGCTATCGCAGCATAATTTTCCTCATGGTCTCGTCTCGTTCGCCGACGGCCTGTCCAGAGATCCGCTCGCCCACAAAGCCGCCTACTTGAATAGGCTTGTGAAGGTTCGTGAGAATAGCAAATACTGACAATAGAAATTGATAATGAAATGTTTATGATTGATCCTACAATTTTCACGATCGGCGAGAATAATTTTCTTCGTAAACAATTTCATTTCGAAAGATATCGAGATTTTTTATCAATAATTCTCTTCTTACAATTTTTGATCCCGATTTCTTCAATTTTCAAGCGATTGCATTTGATACAATAAACTGAACGTGGTTGACAGGAGCACGGAATGATAATTCATCAGGCGTATGGCAGCGAGAAGGACATTAGCGTGTATACGGCGATAAACCTCAAACCGAGCCAGATCTTCGTCATCGGTAAAGCGTCCAAAAAGCATCAGGCCCTGGCGACAATACTGTACGATGGCTATGCCGCCCATCTGAGCACGCTGCAAGCGCATGGAGGTTCACGTCCCGCTCAGGGCAACGCGCGTATGGTGATCCCCAGGGGTCAGTTCGGCTTGCCGGGACAAAATGCTTCTTTACGTCGACGTAGGTGAGTTTTCCGTAGATGATTCATTTCGCCAATTAATAAGAAAGAGAGATTTTTCACGTTTCGCCAAAGAGAATCAAATATCTTCTCGTCATATTCTATCTATTGTTATTGTTTTGTTACGCCGAAAGCGGTGTACATTTACTGAGCACTCATATAGTCACGATTATGAAATTTTCTCTATTGGAAGTATCAATTATATTTCTGCTCTTATCCGTGTTATATATTTTCTACTCTAATTTCTAATTTTTTTTTTTTTTTCTTAGCAACATAAATATAGGAAAATTTTCCATTTTTGAAATGTCATTTTATCCGTGAATACAGGGTACGATCTGCTTGTTTTAAAAAGAATATTATTTTTTAATAATCTAATAATTAGACAGATATAAAAAAATCGAGCTATATATTTTATTTTCTTCTGCGCGATACAATCTACTGTAATTATGAAAAAAAGTATGTATGTAGGTAGAAGCGAAATTCTATCAACTAAACTTGTTCAAAAACGATATTGCTGAGAATGGAATGCAACTGACTTTGAAAGCTACTACACGAAAAATATACAATCGGCGCGTGAAAGCGGGTTTATTCTCTCAATCCTTTGTTGCTGGATGTTGCTTTAGAGAGCCGCTATTTCACGATGTTACCTTACAAGGCAGATTTCTCTCGCTTCAGTAATTTTTGTCAGAACAGTCGTTAAATCGTCCTCTGTTCAAAAATATCCTATAAATTATCAGTTTAACAATGGTTCGTGAAAATTCGTGAGCTGTCCAATGAATTCATTTAATCTTAATTCCATCAATTTTCCGGAAGATGTATATTCGAAAGTTTAACTCTACTCTTATATTCTTAAAGTCAATTGAAATTTATCTAATATTATTATTAAAGAAAGATAGATGCATTAGATAAAAATGACGTTACATTTTTTAGTATTTAATGTAGTTTCGCTTGGCGTATACTAGACTGTTTTTTTTTTTTTCTTTTTTATTTATCGCAGTCAGAAACAAAAAAGGGTCGAGAAACAACACCCTGAGCGGCATTCGCGTACTGAATTGTCACGCAAGTGACAAATGCATGCGTGTGTGTGTATGTGTGCGTGAAAACGAGCACCGGCTATGTTCCAGTAACGACACAGCGGTGAACTCCCCGGCGCGCAACAGCGTCTACTTAAAGCGGAAAATCTACCTTACTCACATCTAACACACGCCTATAATCTACGTACAATTTATTTACTCACATTGGTAATTATCTACAACCGTCTACTGCTCTTACTCTTCACTGTAGGCGCCGATTCAAGTTACTATTTGAGTGGCAAATGATTAGCTACCGTAATGGTTCTCTAATTTTCATATCGGCAAATACAATTTTGGCAGTCAATTAAACGAATATCATATGTCGTTTGCTCAAGTAAATATTTGGCTTAAATTTGTAAATTCAATTAAAAAAGCAGAAATCAGCGCCTGCATCCTCCGCTTTTTCCTCAAATCTTTCGCAGCACGATCTTATTGGTAGAAGGATTATACACATACATGTATATATAAGATTACGATTAGGTCTATGCCGTCATCTTTTTATACGTAAAGACAACATGTATGTAATAAGAAATTAATGAGATAGTTTCTTTCCATAGAAAAAAATTGCTTTTCTCTTACCATTTAAAAATCGTAGAACTTTTCATCTTTCCCCATTTTTTCGAGAGGTCGCCTCGAGATTTATTATAGCCAGTATACAAAAGAATCAACAGCGAAAGTTATTTAAGATTGTATAAATAACGCGTGTTAATAGATAAAATATATATAAAAAAATGAGAAAGATAATTATATTATAGAATATTTTCTCTTTCAATTGTGTGAAATTGTTATGATGATTGTTATGATTACCGACTTAGATCAATGTTTTAAATTAACTTCTATCACACATAATAATAATAATAATAATAATAATAATAATAATTATTATTATTATTATTATTATTATTATTATTATTATTTATTAATTCTGCTATTTACTAGTTGCTTTTCTTTTAAGAAAATCTTTCTGCTATTAATGCGCGCTGCACCGTCCCCATGCTATTCTAGTCAGTTAAAGCAGAATGCACCAACGATCGAATTTCCCTGACCAGTCTCTTGATTGCAGGTACCTGCTATGAGGGATATGTCGCGTTGTCAGCGTAGTTAAATATCGCACTCTGTCTCTCTATCTCTCACTCGGCGAAAGCGACTCTGTTGTCGTAATCCTACGCTCAAACTTATTGTTTGTATCTATCGGCTAGTGCATACATGTCCAGGATTTGTGGCTAATATGACTGCTCTATGACCGCCTCTCTATAGATACGCCCGGGAAATAGAGAAATCGTTTTCGTTATCTTCCCGAAACGAACAGGTCTCACTTTAACGACGAAGGTAAACCGTCGTCTCACGTTTCCGCCTGAAACTTGTTAGTTGAGTGTTTTGTGTTACAAAATAATGCTAGATCCACCACCTAGATCGTTTCATATTTTTCTACTGAGAATTCTGATATTTTAATCGTCATTTAAATTGGAATGTTCACAACTTATATTATGATCAAAAGATAATGCATAATTATATTTTAATAAGATAATTAATGCTCTTTTATATAAATTGGATCAAAGCGTATTTTAATGTATATAATTAATGCATAAATAATTATTTAAAATTAGATTTAATTTAATTTGTTTTTATAATCAATTAAATTTTAAATAGATTTCAATTTATCTTTAAATTTATAATTACTTTAATTATATTAATATATTACGAATATATTTCCTCGATTTAGCTTTATAAATGTGATCCATACGTGAATAATATTTTAATTATGATATGTAATATTAATCGGTACTTAAAATATTAATTAGAATAAACATATGATCTGATTTTTTTTTAATATAATGTATTAGAATTTACAAAGCTTTCTTTCTCTTTCACTGTGTCATTTAAAAACAATTTAGAAATTGAAAATTTTATATATTTTATAACAAAATAATATAAGTTGTAAATTTCTCCAAAACGATTTTTTTGAGTTGATAAAAAAAAAACATTGTTTCTATATTGTATAATTACTTTTTTGAAAAAATTTATAAAAATTTTTAACCATTATACTGCAAAAATTACCTCAAAATTTGTATTGTAATCGAATGTGTGCATACCTGATACCAACAGAAATTAATTAAATGAAAATAAAAACAAAAATAATGGAATGATCTCGAATAAATGATTTCTTTGGTGGTAGATTAGGCTGAAGATCGTTGCTTGTCCGTAAAAGGACCGTACAGCAGCACGAATAAGGATGCCATAGATTTACAAGAGATGTGTACTCCATGCACGATTATTACATTACATGTGAATGTTCAAGTTTTGAGAACTCACGCACATACATACGTGCCGTGTGATCTCCACTAAAAGCAAAAACACTGGCAAACTCCTCCTTCTCATCCCCAATCATGCATTCATTCTGCTATGTGCCCATATCATATAATACATACGTGTACGCTATCAACAAATCTCGTCGCTCCGAGCAGTTCTGGTTCGTTCATCAGCATTGCATTCCGTAGGTGGCGGTATCACGGGACAAACGATAGCGTACGTTAATGAGAGAAAGCAGTATTAAGGATTACGTACCGAAAATGTAAGACTCTAGGCCCAATTCTTTGTTAAGGCTTTTCTTAAGACGTGCTTTGTAGAAATTGATGAATCAATTAGAATTCATTCCACGTGAATTAATCGTTTCGCCCCACAGTTGCCTTGCCCTTTTTTTATAGCAAAATTACTCTTTTCGCTCTTATATCTACTTATGGTTCTCTTCGTAGCACTGGCAGCAAGCGCGAATGTGCGAAGAATCGACGTGTTTACCACGCATTGATTGTGCTAAATCTTCTTTGAGTAAATTGTTTCAGATGTTGAGAAATTCTTCGTGTGATTACAAATAAATCTGCATAAAATATAATTTCTAATTATATTCTGAGATATAAAATTTTTGTAGAATTATAAATTTTTTATTTTACAATTAGAGGCATTTGCTAGACCTATTTAGAATTGAATAACGAATAAGCTTGGACAGAGATCAGACGCGTCTCGCTTATGTTAGTTGAATGTTTTATAATGTCACGATTCTTCCTCTTCTTCCCCTCCCTGGTTATTTTCAAGAACAACAGATAATAAATAATCGCTGTCATCCATAGAGCGGACAGGTGTCTTCCGTCTACATCTGATTCATTATTCATTAACGCTTCGGATGTTACATCACGCTTTCCAGCAGTACAAATGTAAAACACCCTGCTTTTCCCATTGTGCTGTTTTCATTCATCCGCTTTCAATGGCGATCTATGTCCACTTCACTCGCAAGCGAGTTAAACTTCAATATGAAGCGCACTATTCTTTACGAGATGCGCGGCAAAATATACGAGCACACATAGAGTGCTCTTTATGAAATTTTCAGAGAACATTTCAATGAATATGTCGAATACTGAGAGTGAAAAAAGAGCCTAAATACATTTAAAAAATTTTACTTTCTCGACTAATCTCTATTTCATATTATCTTGTCATATTTAATTTCTGGTTTAATTATTCAAATATTCGATTTGAAAAGATAAAAAGATATCATAAAGGAAGTTTGTTTTTCAAATATTTATCAAAAGAGATGCATCGTTTCATATATTTTTTCTCGCATCCTGTAAATATCTGTTGAAATAATCTGTATATAGGATGTCGAAAAAGTATGTATGTTAGTTACAACAGCAGCAACAACAGAAATGAATAATGTGCATTGACAAACAGCAAATCATTAATCGTTTTCAGCCTAAGTGTGATAGAGGAGGGATAAATGCATTATCGCGCTTTCATCCCGATGTGATAAGCAAATACGAAAGATACATCACTGCTGCTTATTGCACAATATGTCGCACGGTACAGAAGCGGATTGCGTAATATTGTATATTGTGCTTGATGGAAAAATAGCACAGAATTATATATAATAATTTTAAATTATTTAAATGAATTTTTAATTACTTCTTAATTAATCTGTAAGTCGATCCTTTTTCTCCATCCATTATCGATACTTGTACTATTTTTATCGCATACACGCAATTTTTTCTTTAATCCATAATTGGAGAAAGTGTTATTCCTTAAGATATTGTTTTAAAATCCGTTTCTGTCGCACACAATCAATACATCTTAATTAGACATGCGAATAGTTTCAAGAATGCAATACGAAAAACAGTCTAACAGTCTAACAGTCATTCAACATTATATTATACATTATATTATACATTATCGTATTATACGTACTGTCAATCGCACTGATTCAAATGATAGTAAGTCAAATGCGCATGGAAATGATAAAGTTATCGAGATGGCTTTGGGAACGCGATGCTTGAACCTTCTTTCTTCCTAATACAATCTCAAAGAATAAGAATAAAGCTATCTAAGAGCGAAAAATCGAAAATAAAATAATTATGCATCTTTTTTCTATATATAGTAATTAATCATAAAATTTATCAGAGAAATTTATTTTAAAAGAATAACATGTATTGATCAAGATATACAAGTATACTCTAAAGTATTCTATCTTTGAAAATAAATTCTTTGAAATAAAATCGATTTCTGTATCGGGAAGAACTGGCGTTCCTCGGTTATCTCGAGGAGGAAGTTTACGATCGTTTATTAATTATCGCCGATATTGCGACAGCTCTTTTAGGACAGCAAAGCGTGCGATCTCGCAGCCACCCTTGGGCAAGGCCCCCTTCCCGTTGGAACGATCCACGAGCGTGGGTCCAGGATCGAGCAACGTTCACCGATCGGCGGCGACTGAGAAGCTCTGACGATTCGCGCGCTGCCGCTCGTTCTTCGAGTCCCGGCGGTAATTTCCCGCGAAGGAAGGACACGATTCTCGGTTCCATATCCTCCTTTATTCCGTTCCTTTCTTCCCTCGTTTCGTCGGGATCCTTACTCCGTATAATAGTCTTATATAAATCTTTACGTCCTCGCGTTGATCCCGTCAAGATTGTGATTTTTGCAATGTTACGCAGATTCTTCTTTACTCTTCTCTGTTCTTTATAGATCTTCGATGACGTAGGCCTTACCGCCCCATCTTTCGTGATATCTCTCATATCGTAAATTTATATATATATATTCTATATATAACGATAAAAATATTCTGTTTTTTATATATTATAGACTTTTATTCTTCTTCTCGATCTTAAACATTTTTAGTTTCACGCGAGTGCTAGCTCTTAACGTTTTGTGGTGTCGGAAAATTTCATCCATTCCTTTTAGAGATCTGCGAATATTAGATGTGGAAAATTCCTCAATTCGATTTTGCGAAAATCTCTTTGTTATGTAGATTCCATAAATCTTGTAACTAGATTGTCTAGATTTTTAGTTCCGAGTTAATCCTTGTATAGCTCGTATCGTATGACTTTTATTGTACGGGACTAGCAAAACTCTCGTATTATTCCAATAAATAAAATTTTATTTATATATATATATTTTTTTTTTTTTGTTGGTCATTTTTACACTACAGTTTATTATAGTAATCTTACGCTAACATGGAACAAAGATATTTATTTATTTGGAATATTTTTTTATTTTCTTTTTAATATAAAAGCGAGTGAAATAAGAATAAAGATATAAATTAAAACAATAATAGAATTTTGTTTAGCGGAATAATGAGCCGAGAGAATAAGAGAACTTGTTAAAACTGTTACCTGAGTCTCCCTATTGTTATTAAGAAGACGTAATCTAATGCTATCTGTGTGACACACACTGAGACACGCTTAGACGTAATTAGCGTTAAGATCTGTTAGTATTCTATTCATTGCCAAACACGTTATAAAGAGACGTAATACGTAATGCTCTGCAAAGTCCGCGCCAATTTCTTTCAGGGCTATTTTCTCCTCGCGCGAAATATACCTGCAAAAAAGAAACAGTTTTAAAGTATAAGGATGTAACGCATTGATTGATAGATGATATACTTGTTATACGCGTGCGATTTTTTTATCTGTTTGACTTTACAGTTTTATTTATAGTACATCAAGATAAAAGATTATAGTATCGTTATAAATATTATTTATTCGCGACGCAGACTGAGAGAATGTATTTTATTAAATCGACTGACACAAAATAAATATTTGTATCGAAGAAGATAATAATTAAGACGCAGTATTTTTGTAACGGTAATTTGAAAAAATATGATTATTTATAACCAAAAATGATGATAATGCGAGTGCAATAACAATATTGATTTGAGAAAAAGATCTTTCCATATACTGTCTCTATAAGATAAATATAAATGAGTTTTTATATTCAATTATTCACAGAATAGTAAGTTTCTGAAAATAACGCGTATATCGACAAGTATTTGTGCATTTAATCGCGAAGCTAGGAGATGTACCTATCATACATTTATAAGACGAAGCATCGACATTGTTAGACGCGCGCGCGCGACAAGCGGTACAAAGCTACTTCCCTCTTATTATATAGTCGCGTAAAGCTGTAGCTGGCGATGTAAATAATGTTAGATGCTGTGTAAATAACTACTGTTATTCGTGGATAACGTTAGGTCGAGGGTCGCGAAATGTCATATTTACGTGATTAGCTGCTAGATGCTTCGTCGAGGAAAGCGATGTGGAACGCGATGTGTGAACGACTTGGAACTGAAATGAATCGATGCCCTTTTGATTTCTGTTATTATATAAAATTCCAAGTTTCTATTTATCTTATCCTGCCTGTAAATTCTCCCGAATCTCGCACTGTACGACGATACTCGCAGAAAGAAAAGAAAGATTTATTTGTCTCAGCTCCGAGTCGCACCGACGATGAATGGGAGGAATAATGGGATTGATCATAATCAACATGGTGATCCTCATTAAGTTTAAATCTATTACAATCAACGTTACGAAACAATAAAATCTTTCTTATGAGCACGATTCCATCTACATGGTGTCCCACAGGTCTTGCGTCGATAACGGAATTTTCACAGCGAAATTGTTTTCTATATTGATTTCTTTCTTAAAAAAGAAGTTTAACTAACGATACTATTTTCTTTCCATTTTCAAAAGATTGCCAGGTATATAATTTTTAATTTTTAATTTAGGTCATCGATTCCTAAATTATTGTACCATTTTAAAACATGTAACTTTTAATTTAAAGAAAAGTAAAAATATGTTGTATTTTTATTGTTCTAAGATTATTATTATCATATAAAATCTCAAGAGCAGAGATAGATAAATATATAATTTCTGTTGATAAAGAGCGAAAAAAGTTTACGCTTTTCAAATAACACATGAATATTGAAGTAAAATGAGACGAGAGACAAGACAGCCTTGCGCTAATGATCAGGACACCCTGTAGAACAGGATCGAGCGCGACAAAGGAGACGGAGATTGATCTGTTGCCGTCTTGTGTTACTCGACGATCTTCTCGGATCATACTAATCTCCCGATTCTAAAGGAAGCATTACGTATTGCTCAAACTGCTATACTAATTATGATACTTGCATTACGCAAGTCAACATTATCATTAAATATTGACTGTTTGTATTGTTGTAATATGGCATGAGAATAGTTATTTATATATATATATATACA